TGGTACATACGTACAGGTCTGCATCATGCAGCGAGTGGCGGCCATAGCACATGGTGCGTTCATACTTTGCGGCAACGTCCACTAGCGACCATAAGCGTCTGCCAGCGACCACTAGCGTTTCGAGCGTTCCCCAGCGTTTAGGAGGGTATAGATGTCGATTTAGCGAACGCCAGCGTTCACCAGCGTCCGCCAGCGTCCACCAACGTCCAGCAGTAGAGTGTGAGAAACCGGAAGGTAGCAGAGAGCTGGATCAAGGGTCGTGAAATTGTGATGTGTGTAGCCGCACCGTACAACTACACAACATAGTACATAAATTGCACAATTCTGTGCTTTAGCAATTGTACGGTGCGGTTGTACACGCCAATTTCACAACGCCTAATCCAGCTGTCTGCTACCCATCCTACTTCCCCATACTCTCTGCTCCTGGAAGCTGGTGGATGCTGTAGTCCGCTAGATCGATACCTATACTACCCTAGTCTTTGGAGACGCTGGCGTTCGCTAGATCGATATCTATACTTTCCTTCGCTGGCGCTGGCGGACGCTCGAAACGCAGGCAAAGTATGAACGCAGCCTCACAGCAGAACAGCGGTCGATCTACTCTGCCAATGGACTCATATTCCAGGTGTTGATAGCGCTGCTCCTGCGGCTGAACTACGAATCTACCTTATCATTTTGTAGCGTGTCACTAGCAGTACTACTACCGTTCCTGCACATTGCGGATGTCATGCGAGCAAGATTGGAGATCTGAAACAAAAGCAGAATGACGAATGGAGCCCATAGCAGTGAAGAAAAAAATGTCCGGAAACCTCTCCGCCTGAATCCATCGACAATAGTGGAATACCGCCAGAACCAAATGAGGGGACCGTGTCGGACTGATTGTTGGTCATAATTGTAGACTCCGTGATATCTTCTACTAGAAAAGTGTGAGCGTTCAACCTCAAAATTGTGCCTGTGCAAAAAGATAAACCGACCCCGCTGGCGAGGATACTTGTATGGAGTGGACGTCGTGAAACTACGCTGACCATGAGCTTTTCCTGCTACTGGCGTACGAAAAGGATCACTGGTCAAGTCGTTCAAACTAAAATAAGGAGAAATGCAAGAGAGATGAACCATAAACTAAAAAAGGATAGGCCCCCGGAATATAAAAACATAGACCCCCACACAACCACGCAAATATTCATTCGTGACCCATGGCTGGTGGACCGGTTGAGCAGTTTGGGAACGGTCGCTCTGGGCAGATTAGCGGACAGTTCTCCCAGAACTACGGAGTTGGTCGCTGAGAGAATTAGAAACATGAACAAGAACGTTGGGCACTATTGAACTATTCCTACCCCAAAAAACTCAAAAAATACGTTGCATATAGATGTAATTCGATGCGCTGATCACGAATATAACATCCGTTTCGAGCGCTGGCGTCATTTGGCGCCATTATGCGCCAATTTGGCGCCCACCACTTTTTCACCAAAGTTGATGAAAACTTGCATATGGGGGTTAATTGAGGTCCTGATTACGAATATCACACTGGTTTCAAGCGCTGGCGCCATTATGCGCCAATTATGGCGCGTAATGGCGCCAAATGGCGCCAGCGCCAAAAATAAATGTTGGATTCGTAATCAGGACCTCAATTAACCCCCACATGCAAGTTTTCATCAACTTTGGTGAAAAAAAAGTGGTGGGCGCCAAATTGGCGCATAATGGCGCCAAATGACGCCAGCGCTCGAAACGGATGTTATATTCGTGATCAGCGCATCGAATTACATCTATAGGCAACGTTTCAGCGAAAAAAATTTTTTGAGTTTTTGGGGTAGGAATAGTTCAATAGTGCCGAACTTTGGGCGCATTATTTATTCCTTGATTAGCGCAACAGAGCTGAAAAGAAAAGGATTCCTCACTTCGTGGTGCAACTGCTCATCTTCACAATTTGGTCTTTGAGCGTCATCACTTCTTTGCATTTTTTCTTATACTCCACGCTAACGCGATCGAAATTCCTGTAACGAGTGGCTTCGAAAATGGTTGAGGAGGGTCGAGCAAAAGATTGTAACGCAAAAAAGAAAGTAAGCCTGTGACTAAATGAAAGAAACGCATAAACGAAAATAGATTACGCTTTATATTGATCCTTCTTCCGCATTTCTTCTCTGCAGTATTTCTGGAGAGCTTCGAAATTGCTGCTCTGAAATATGAAATAAACGTGGAAGCCTACGCATCCCAACTGATGTTCTTTCCCTCATATTTAACACTTGGTGCAAGCCAGGTGTGAACCTTGAGCTAGGTCATAGTGATTAGACCACTGTGGGTTGTTAACCAAGTGTTAAATATGAGGGAAGGAACATCAGGATGTCAGAAAGTAACTGAATCTTTTTTACTCTCCACAATCTTTAGAGGACGGATGATATCAAAAATGCAAAGAAGGCCAGAAAAGCATTGAAGTCAGTTTGACAGCCTTGGTATGCGAAATTGGTGAATAGGAGCGTAGAGGGATACGCGCCGAGGGATCGATCTGGTGGATGAAGGGAATCTCGTGAATCGGGACACTAAAGGAATCGAAGTCGATCTCATGCGGTCTATGGACAGCTCAACAGAAGGAGTGGTTTTATAAGAATGAGTTGGAAAATGGATGATTTGCTAAAACAAAGGATATGGACTGCAATAACTAACAGATGGCAGGATGCTGCACACAATAGTTCACGTCAGAGATTTGACCACTACCATTTGAGGCTGCGTTCATACTTCGCGTCAGTGCACATCGGCGTTTCTATTGCTTTGAGCGTGCGACATCGCCAACGACTAAGATAGGTATCGATCTAGCGTATGCCAGCGTCCATCAGGAGTGGTGAGTAAAGGAAAATAGGAGAGTTAGACGGCTGGATTAAGCTGATGAAATCGCGGCCCGAGCAACTGCAGCGTACATCTGCAGAAGCACAGAATCATGCAATTCTGATGAACGGTGTAATGCAATTGTACGTGTGGTTACACACACCGTGATTTCACAACTCTAATTCAGCCGTCTGCCGACCTCCTACTTCCCCCTACTTTTCACACTTGGTGGGCGCTGGCACACACGATACCTACACTTTCCTAGTCGCTCGAAACGCTGCTGTACGCTGGCATACGCTGCGTATGCTAGATCGATACCTATACCTTCCTAGTGCTGGCGTACGCTCGTAAATGCTCAACGCTGGTGTACGCTGACGCAACTCATGAACGCAGTGTAAGCGTCCAAACTCGCACTCAGTTCACCGCTGCAAATTAGGAGCTTACTGCTCATACTTAGACGAGTGCTCATTTCATAGCATCCCGCAACAATCGGAAACCATCGGAAACCGTAGATGGAATGAAGCTTCAGTCCGGCTACGGAGTACCAGATAACGAAGCATAATGTTCGCCTTGCTAATGTAAGCTCACACTAGGTGCGTAATAAAAAGCTGTTGCCAGTTGACTGGCATTCAGATGGCAACAACCATTATGTTGGGTGGGTAAGAACGGCCTACTATTGAAAGCGGGTGAATCATTTCCCACCTTGCTTTGTAGATGCCTCATTACTCTCATCCTGTGGCCATTTTGAAAATCAGCAACACGAGTTACTTCGCGAACGATTGTCGAAAAATCCTCTAGAGGTGCGAATAACTGACGAAGCTGAAAGTGCATATGCATAGAAAAACCTGTAAAAAGTAGTTCAAATTGGATCAGAATACAGTGTCTTTATGTTTATGATCTCTATACAAACATTCTGTTAAGTTTCGGAGGGGGTGATTCAACCTCCTCCAAAACTTTAACAGAAACTTTAACTTCAACAAAGGTCAAAAGAACAACTGATATTCTCACAATTTCTCATGAAAAAAAACCCAGAAGTAAAACTCCGGTAAGCTGCATTCATTCATTCGCGTAGATAGATACTCGCAAAAAGGAATGTATGAGGATCAATCCTGAGAAAACGGGCGGTAAAGGATTTCTTGGACTTATGTTCAGAAAAGGGTGTCTAGGTGGCAGTAACTATCTTTTTCAACATGGCATATACTTCTGTTTGAGATCAAACTACTGAAGCAGCTTGGGACACCCGCTCGTGCGAGAAGAGGATGCAGTAGCTGCGATTGCTCCATAAGTGAGGTTCGCCATAGTTTGAACACCACAGCACACTGCAGACTTTACTATTGCACCATAATATGTTATGGAAACTTTGGAAACTGGTGTTGGTAGTAGAGCCCTTTATTTAGAGATAAACGACACTGTTTAACTGAAAAGACCATACACAAATGGATAAGCAATCCCGCTCCGCGAGGGGACTACCTCACAAGGCGGCCCTCTGTGGTTTTAGGAAGTTCTGCAGTGGGCAGTGGGAGTCCCACCCCACTCTCTGGTCCTTTGGTTTTCTTTTCCTTTCTCTCACTCTCTCCACACTAGCTGTAAGGTTCCCCGAACTCCTTTAACAGATTTTTGACCTCGGTGAGGAGCGAACATTAGAAGATGTCGGAAACATCGGTTTTTGCCTCGTGAATAACCCATTTCTCAGTCTAAAAAGTCTTGAATGATTAGAGAGTATCATCTCAGTAAAGCAGAAAGAGATTCTTCAGAAACTCAACTACTAATCACTACTCAGCCTGCTTTGATGAAGAAAAACACTATGGAACGAAAACATAAATTCCAAAAGTTATTAGCCAATCCGACTGCGTCTTTCCTTTATTCTGCGATTTCTTTTCTTTAACGCGATTCTCCAGTTTAGCTGTTCGCAAGGAATGAACATTACCTCTACTGGGCCTTGATGGAAACTTGCATAGAACTTGTTGAGTTGAAGAGGTCTAACCATGATCATTTCATCGACACTTTGAACTTCATAGCTTTGCATGACTTTCAACTCATTATTTAATAGTGTTGGAACACCCAGTTTAAAAAATACCACAATAAAGATAACTTCTAGATAGCTTTTTAATAAATACAATCGGAGTCATCATGACCACATACCTCCGGTTTGAGGTTCCTGTTTATTTCCAAAACCTGCGGGTTGTTCTTCTGACAAACTTTGCACCGTAGGGTCATGGCTCCTGAAAAACAACAACGGTTAACCACTTCACTAGTTCGTATAATCCTACTATATATAATGAGCTAATGGTAAGTTTGTCTGTTGGTGAGTGCGTGTCTGTGTGTACGTGTGCGTGTTTGACCAGACACTCATAGCTTCCTCCGATTGAGCCATAGCGCGTTAGACGGGAACACTATTGCTGGGTGACAGAAAGTGATAACAACTGATAAAGGCTGATAAAGGGCCCTAGAAGGAGACTGTCACCAAATGCGTACTCCGGAACAGTGACAGTGGGACGCTGGTCACTAGCCACGGGGCGCCGACAGATATGGCTTAGTGGGGTGACAGGGAAGTGGAGAACCATTGTTAGGACTAGATAAGGCTGCACCCAGAAGCGGAAGGTCAACCGATCTAGCGCGCTCGATTCCTAGCAAACGCGATTACGACATTCTTTCCAAACCGATATGTTAGCTGAGGGTCACCTGGAAGACTAACTGGGGATGGCAGATGGATATAAAGGGCTGTTCGATTTACAGGGGAGAATTTCCAAACTCGCCGTTGCCTTATTCTGAGGCCGCGTCCCGAGTAAGCCAAGTAGGAGAGTTAGTCATCAACTAAGAGCAATCCAGGGGAATTACTAGTTACTGGATAGTGAGCCGGAGTGGAAGCAAATGATAGGAACTCATAGAGGAGCATTTGCCGCCGTCATTCTACTTCATGGGTGACATCTTTTCACAGTCAAATCAGCGTTCATTAAGGTGACTATTCGGTAACGGATCTATCAGATTCCCGGATCAATTGTTGATTGGAGAGACATGAGCAGCGTCGATGGTATCTTGTCACTTCAATTTCTATTTAGGGTGTATAGCTGCATATAGGGGGCAGGTGAACTTAGGATACGGTTTGCAGAGGCATGCCGGAGCGAAGGGGAATAGCGAATGATGTGAAACGAGGAAAAGTCAAAAATCCGCAGTCAAAGATTAAGAGGTGCTTACATGACGGATCTCTCTGGGTGTTCTTGCAACACAAATGAGTGTGGCGCGCGGTTTGTTTGATACCGTCCCAAGGCTCTTTCGGCTATCTGCGTCTGGGGCTTGCCCAGACCATTTGGGACCAGAGCCATTTTTAAATTGCGTGACCAAAATCCGTTAGAACACTTGGTATATAGGGTCGGGTACATTTAACCTCCTCGGCTCTCCGCACTCATGACATTCATCTTGCGCTGGCACCAGAAGAGGACACTCGATCACGCTCCTGCGGCTCCTAAGCTTAGCGAGCGCAGATATCGTAGGTGTCATCCATTAGCGCCAGCGACAAAAGTGAATGTCATATTCTTGATCAGGATGTTAAACTACCCCTATATACAAGTTTTTAGCGGATTTGGTAACTTAGGCAATTTAACAAATGAGCTCGGGTGCGAGAATATCTGCGAGGTTCAAACGGGGCATTAGCCTCTTTTTCTTCTCTTTCTGGTTAGTTTTCAATGATTTAGCTACTAGGCTTCATTACGTTCAGGCGCACAGTAGTGTGCGCCAGCCACACTGGTATTCATACAAGATGGGAGAAGGTCGAATGCGCTGATGCCACCTCACGCCGCCTCTGCCGTCCACCTGTTGCGTCAGGCAACTCGTCCGTTACGCTCATCATCTTGACTGCGCACTTGATCAAATTGGCAAGGCGCCATCATAGACGCCGGACAACGTACTTAGGCGTACGCTGCAGTGTGCCTTATGAAGAGCAAAAATAGGTATTTCCATCGTGTAACATGCCACTAGGCGGAATGAGTTTCACGCGGTGCCAAACCCGTTCTCCACCAGTTGTTAAAGCGAGCAAATGATATGACTGTATCATATCGTTCGTATTACTCGTTTTCTACCACTTTTTCGCATGCGCGCTTCAACAAGAAGGCAGAGAACGGCTTTGACGGGGTGACACACTCATACTGCCTGACACGCCCAACCGTCCGCAGCGAACTAGAGGTAAACAGCTTCATTCCTCATATGACCCATTGAGCAAAGATAAAATGAGAAAATAACTGAATTACCTTTCTGGACACATTTCAGGCAAGCGACATGACCACAAGTGGATAGATAAAACTTCAAGTCAGCGGCTGGGAAAGCAAAACAAACCATGCAGTGAACAAAGCTGGACATCTTGTGAATCCTGCAACATAAGAAGTATTATTACAAGAAAGTATGCATATGCTTACCGTACAGAACGATGTGAAAAACGAAGTAATTAAAAGACACCAAAGGACAGATACGGAAAGTCACCTCAGAAATAGAATGCGTTAGACTGCGTTCTACTGGAAAGGACTGGCGGCATAGGAGAACCCGCGAAAATGATCAGGTAAATATTGATTGGTCGCCGGTTCTCCAAGTTTCCGTTCCACGATTTTCTAATTCTCCGGAGACCAAGGTATGAACGCAACTTTGGACATTGCTCACATTTAGCGTCACGCAGTAGAACTAGGGAATCGAGGGATCAGGAGATATAACGAAATCGCAAGACAGGGAAGTGAACCGATGTGGGTAATTGCCTACTTTCCCACTCTCTATTTATCCAGTTGAGTTCGCGGATGCGATGGAGCGGATTCAATATTTTATTTGGAAAGATGACCCTATTTTCAGAGTATAGAGAGCATCTCGCATAGTCGTGCGCGACAACGCTTGCGTAAGCTGGAAGGAGTGGAATGCGTTCATACTTCGCGACCTCGCAATCGGATCGCGCGATCCAGTCGAGCGATAAGATCGCGACCGAGTGTCGACCGGATGCGCTCCACCGAAAAACGATGCACAGCCGCGTGAACGCGGCCAGTTTGAATTCTACCGCTACAGCGGTGCACTGTTTGGCGGTGAACCCCTCTCGGGATCGTTGACTGTGTCGCGCGATCCGATCGCGAAGTATGAACGCACCCATACGCGGCGCATTTCGTACAGTCGCACGCGACAATGCACAAAAAGTTGCTAGACCCAGCAACATCTTTACTGCGTTTCTGATTAATTTATCTTCCGGTTAGTTCTCAGAAACCTTCAGTCAGTTTGCAGGCACGTCTTATTGAATCTAAATCATCAATATGGATAGAAACAAAATAAAAACACTCAGAAGTAAAAAGTAAATGTGAAGCATTCGAGGCATCTGAAGGTGCGCCCTATACACGGGTGCGCCTTATAGCCCGGAGAATAGGGCACATGGACGCCTGGTCACAGGCCATTCCAGTGGAAGTGGATTAGGACTCTATTCGTGGCTTGCGCTTAGAGACACTTTCCGCGATAAAGGATGGTACGCAATAAGGCTCAAATACGGTTAGTAATTCAGTAGTGAAAAAGCAAGCTTCCAATATGCTCTACATAAAACCTCTTGCCGACTTGCGCATGCTTAGGGGGAGAGGGAAGATGGGCAGGAGTCACCTCCGCGCCGGGAGCTAGGCCACTGCTCGCGGGCTACACTAGATTCAACACGTTCTGGCATGATGTATTTTAGTAACTACCATTTAACGTCTCAGAGTTCTTCAGGAGTGGACCTTCTATGTGCCACATTCACTCTCGTACATTTTTTTCTGTTCCTACGACCGTATGAGGATGGAAAAAAGCTGTCCCATAGATCAAGAGATTAAATCCCGGGAGGTTGAAAGCTATTTCAAGAAACGCAATGTTCCCAGCATAGGGCAAGAGCATGTTGAACATGCTCTAACACGTTGAGTACAGCATTGCGACGGGCGCGATGACCGAGCTTCCAGCGCGGTGGTGAAATCTGGAAAACGGGCAAGAGAATCGTATGTTGCCGCTTCGTCGCGCGCGGCAATGAGCGCGACGTTTCCTTGAACTTGCACTACCCTTTCGATTGGAGCATCGGATTTCATGTAGACAAGGACATGGTAGACACTTATGTCTATTTTTGGTCATACATTGTCTATTCTCGACCAATACCACCTGAAATCGTCGTCATTAGCGGGCGCGACGTCGCACGCGACGCCCACTGGCGCGACGAATTGCGATTCTCTTGTCACATGCCCGGCAGCGCCCACCCTCCTCATACAGTGTGCTCCTTTCGCTACCATCTCTCTCCCACAACGCAACCGGCTGGTGCAATCGACAGCCCGCTACGGCTGCCTTCCCATTAATAGCATCGGAGCGCCACTGCAATGGTAGCGCGTTATCGTGAAGTCTCAACGCTGCCTTAGTGGTGGAACACGCACGATCGTAGTCGCGCGATAAAGCGACCAAGTCGCAAAATATAAACACACTCTGGCTCTCCACGCGGCAGTACGGCTATGTTTGCTCTGCAAAACTACGAGCTGGTTATCTGCGCTCTGCCAAGATCAACTAGGAAGGGAACTCACTCAAATGGCCACTTCGATTTGCCGTTTTCTTTTTTTAAATGCAGGCTACACTTTGGTAGCCACGCATGTGTGGGAACCTCATCTTCGAAGTCTAAGGGCGCTGTTCGGCCTAATAAACTGAAGGTGCGCCGTAAAAGGAGCTTCTCACCTGTGAAGGCGAGACTCATTCTTTGCTCCTGTCCTTCTTCGGACCTCATTTAGGGCGCCTTCGATTTTTTTTGCTCTTTTCTTTACTGGTAAGCCAGTTGACATCTGCGAATTCACATTCGAATCGCTAAGCCCACTGCGTTCGCGACCTGTGGCTTTAATATATAGTCTTACGATTTGAGGAGGTGACGTATGAGTGTCTGGAGGAATGGAGGAAATGTTTTGGAAAGCTATTGTATATAATTGCGGGATGCGTGGATGTTTTAATGACTGGAGCAGTTATTCAGACTGAAAACGTCTTCTGACACTGTTTATTTTGTCTTCTCTCAGGCTTTCGATAAGTGGTCCACTCCAATATTTGATATTTGGTATACTCGAAATCCCTGAGATCGGGTAGGCGGAGCATTCGAACACTGTAAGGAACTGGTTACTAGTGGAATATTCCAGTCTGGGACAACTGTCATCTTGTTCTGTGTTGGACAGAGACACGACAACGATTGTGTCGAGATGAAAATATCGCATCAGAAG